CGCCTAAATAAAAAGATTAGCGCAAGGAACGAAATTGTGTGTCTAGCGCGTGAGAAATCGATGATGTATGACTGTTTAGCCATGAAACCGAGCAGTATTTTAGTTGATCTCTTTCTAAGAGATGGCGTTGCAATATGCTAGATAAGAACAGATGAATACGCTTGAGTGAGACACAATGATGTATAATAAGTATAAGAAATGAATGAAAGATGTCACTATTGTCGAATTTGGAATTTAAAAAAGTCTGTACTATCAACTTTGATTAACTTCAACCGTCACTCCAGCATCCCCTTAAATGTAATGTGAGAAGAATAATCGACTGTGATTGGTCAATTTCTTACTCTTACTTCTTACTCCGTGTATTGTAGACGGGCCTTTAGCATTTAAGGGGATGCTGGAGTGACGGTCGAAGTTAATCAAAGTTGATAGTACAGACTTTTTTAAATTCCAAATTCGACATATAGAAAAACGCGTCGAATGAATGGGATGATCCCGATTGACCAGGTCTCGATTGGACACCACCAATCACAGCGACCGGTGCTTAGGAGATTTGTAGTCTCAAGCGCTGTGAGTGGCTCGTGTCCAACTGGGTGCCACCCGATGGAGCTCGATCAACTTCTTCTTCTTCTATTATTGGCCCCGCAACCTAGACAGGCTGGTACTGGGCCATTGAGGTCTTCGTAATTGAACTAAACGTGATTGGGAACGCTATGCACCGGCCACCTCGAACCGGGCGAGTGATGGATGATACAATAAAAAATGGTGAGGCGCCTCTTCAAACACTGGACGCCTGCGGCTACGACGCTTCCACGCCGCACGGCCGCGCGCCAAGACGGATAAAGGGACTATCGGAATTGAAATACTAAGGCACAGTCCAAGCCGGCAACGCTTTTCAAAAATATAGTCGAGGTGACGCAACACTCGAGACGAGAGGGAACACGTCCGACCCGCTCGAGTGGTCTACAAGAACTTAGCTCGATCAACTAGAGCAGACCGCAAAACAATTAAATGCGGTGCTCAATGAGTTCCCGATCGCCGCAGTCTCGCTGGACGATTTTAGACCAATTAAAGAGAAGGTCTATACGGCCAGGAAGTCACTGATGCCCTTGAACGCCAGGTTATTAATGTTTAAAGCTAAGTCCAAACGTACGTCGTTGATGCGTCGGTTTTCTTGATTCTGAAGTCTCGTTCTGGAATCACTTGCGTTTTACGTTGCAGAGTACGTCGATGACAGACGCAGCGAAAGCGAGGATGAGTTTAGAGACACGCTGCAAAATGTCGTAAGCGACACGCTCCTAAACGCCAAGGCTATCAAGTTATGCCTTTATAGCACCACCATTCTCTCAATGCTCAGTAATAAGGAAGGCACTGCAGAGGATCAAAAGTGAGAAATAAATTTTTGTAAATGTTATTGATTTAAGAGTACAATCAACATAATGTTATACATGCTTTGAATCATAAAATTCTTTCTTGTAATTGGTCAATCAAATGTTTTAAAATATTTCTAGTGAGATTTTTACCTTTAGATATGAATCGAAATGCTACATGTAAAGAGACATGATAAAATAATTTTACTTACTTTTAGAAAGCTTAACACCTACATGAGTAAACTCTTCATTCTCAATGACAATATTATGGCCACAGAAGAAGCTATCAAGAAGGCGACTCAAATACAGCTGGATCTGAAAATCGAATGTCAGAAGTTGATATTTGAACACGCAAAGTTTCTCAAAGAATAGGAGCAGATGAGAAACAAAAGATTGCAGGAGACAAATCCTGAGATCGTACGGTGAGTAAAGATCCACGAAATTCGTGTCTTATGAAATATTTTCGTATTTAAAATCTTTATTTTCCATTTCAGAACTAAAAACCAACTGGAAAAATATATACGAAAAATAAACATAATAAAGAAACTCATTAGAAACTTCATAGCAGTGTCCAATCACATGCTAGAAAAGAAGCCGATACTGCTGAAGATGGAGAATCACAGAGAATTGATAAACATTGAAAGAATAGTAAAAATGTCGCAAAGTAATTGACTGTAAAAGTGAGAGATCTCAGTTTATAAAATATCCAGTGTATATTTTATCAAATATTACGATAAAATGTATTAAGGATTTCATGGTTTAATTCATTTCTATATTTTTATTAAAAGTGCCGTTACATGCGGCGTAACTTGCGTAAGCGTAACTTGCGCCGACCAATCATCATTTGAACATTAGTTTCTGTCTAGTCACTTTTACGCTATTTTGTTGTTATGTCGAAACATGATAGAACCATCATGCGTCGAATCTAATTTCTGGCTCATTTTAGCTTATTTTGTCTGAAAAAATGCACAAGGGTTTCGATTTTACAACAGTACAATTATAAAAGTCGTGCGCCCCTCCCCTTTGCATCGCGTGAAAAGTAGAAACCCATGTGGAACAGTACAATTATAGACCTCATTTTGCCTCTGTGACAGATTTCCTAATCTCAATAGTCATCAACTTTAACGCTTAATATCTCAGATCACATGGCAGAACAACGTGTTTTTTTTTGCCAGATTCTTTTGTTTCATGCAAAAACGCGTCGAATAAGCCTAAAAGTGGTCTCACAAAATTTTCCAATTTTAATAATTTATTCGATCATCCGCTCATATATACGCGATGGAAAGGTACCGGTTCCCCATGAGGCGTACTTTTCGAGTTGCGTAGGTTACGAAAACCAATCGTAAATTCGTTTAGCATTTCTTTAGAGTGTACAACAGAAATTCTAATCAGCAATTGGTTGCATTAGTTCCGCATTTCTCTAATCTTCCGCGAAATACGCCCAATGTGAATGCCGGCTTTCAGAATGGCGTATTCTAGTAAATAAAAAATAACGTATTCTAGTAAATTACTAGAATACGCAGATTACGCTTACGCACGTTACACCGCATGTGACGGCACCCTAAACATACATTTTTATGTCGATTTGTGTACAGTTAGAAGCAATGAGGTTGCGACACTTTTTTCGATGGATTTTGGAATGCGGCTTACTCATCGAGCGATTGGTTCTTATTCATGAATTTACAAATAAAGCCCATAACACATACAAGTATGTAATGCTGGATTTACACTACATCCGATTTGCGTCGTACAACGCTCTGCAACCAATCAGAAAACAGGATTCCGATGGATTTTGCTTCGTATCATCGAAATTCTGTTTTCTGATTGGCTGAAGAGTATCGTACGACGCAAATCGGATGCAGTATGAATCCAGCATAAGACCGTAGCACACAAGCAGTAAGTGAAATGGTCAATCACAGTAGGGACCGTAAGGCCAGTAGCGAATCCAATGTTAGAGCCCAGACACAAACTTTTGCATAAGGCATCATCTACAATACACGGAGTAAGAAGTAAGAGTAAGAAATTGACCAATCACAGTCGAATGTGAGAAGAATAATCCGACTGTGATTGGTCAATTTCTTACTCTTCTTACTCCGTGTATTGTAGACGGGCCTTAACACATAACGCATAGTGCATAAGCGAATCAACTAATCAGAAGCTTTCCTTTCCTCTCATTCCATGGAAAAGAAGAATTTCGATTGGTTGATTCCATTATGCGGGTGGCACCCAGTTGAACACGGCTCAATTGGACACGAGCCACTCACAGCGCTTGAGACTACAAAGCTCCTAAGCACCGGGCGCTGTGATTGGTGGTGTTCAATTGAGCCGTGATCAATCGGAATCACCCCCTACACGTTATGCGGGGTCTACAATAGAAGTCGTAGCAGTCGTAGGGTTTTAAGTCGTAGAAAATTGACCAATCATAGTCGATTATTCTTCTCATATTCTACTGTGATTAGTTAATTTTCTACGACTTAAGACTCTACGACTGCTACGACTTCTATTGTAGACCCCGCATTATGCGTGGTCTACAATGGCAGTAGCAGTAGTGGA